TTAATGGTTTTATCATTTTGCATCTTAGTCTCTTGCAGACTTAGTTAGTAGAATTAACACCTTGAGAACGTTTACACTGAGTGATTAGAAAAAAATGGGAATCCGTAAAACTGAGGACGAGATACTATAGAATCATTTTATAAGCTCCTCCCAGGCCCCCTGACTGGTGGGCTGGCATCCCTCTATAACATTTCTTGTAATGTTTCTTTTATTATATATGCTTTTCTTCCCAGGTCTCTTGTCTAAGTACAAGTCACATTTAAGGTTAATATGCAGAATTCTGGGCTTAATGAATACTCCTCTATAAACTCCTATACTATTTAATGTCTCTACCACTCATTTAGTACTGATGGTAGTTTATTTATATTTATTGTTTCATGCTTGTTGGTCTTTTATATTAGAATACAAGTCCATCAAGGACATTCCTTGATTCTTACCTTACCTGTAACCCCTAATATCAGTTTGGTTCCCTACACAAAGCACTCAAGCTAAAGAGAACAAGCACAATTCTTCAACAGCATTCATGGTCATGTGTGAAAGGATTTTAATTCTTTTGTTGTATAATAATGCAGAATCTTCAAAAAATACTTAAGAAGCTTGTATGGGCCATACTCTTTGTGTATTTACACCACAGACCTGAAAGTAAACAATCTGGCCTCTAGTTAGTTGTATTGCGTCTACCAACCTGAATGTATGCTAGTATTTTAAGAAATTACCACCTTAAGTTAAGCTTGGTTTTGAAAACTAGAAAAAATAATAATACCCATGTCTTAACACAGCCATCTGGTAAGGCAGTGAAAATTTTCTTTGAAGATGCACGATTCTTACATGTGCTGTTTCTTAAAGCCTGGGAAAATTCATTAATTTGCTACACACTAAGCCAGCCAATATTTAGTTAACATATTCCATGTGCCTGGTGAGATTCCAGTTGTTGGGGATGCATCTACATATAAGGCTTTTAAAAGTCCCTCTTCTTTTGGGACTTGCAAATTTTATGTGGAGATATAGACATTAAGTGAAAGAAAACAAATTGAGCAAATATCAGATAGTGAAAAACGCCATGCAGAGAATTAAAATAAGGTCACGCGTGCTTTAGATTACAAGCTTAAGAGAAGGTACTGAAACCCAAATGTCAAATTACCACTGCAAAGAACAGGGAGGAAAGTATTCTAGAAAGAAAAAACAGTGTGCAAAGAGGCCACTGTGTCTGACTGTAGTGGCTGAGTGAAAGTAATGCAAGATGAAGTTAGAGCAACGACAGCAGCCAGATCACAGAGGACTCAGTAAAGCAGGTTAGTTTCAAAACTGCAGAAAACTTTCTTGCACTACATACTAGAGGAAAAAGCACTGAACCAACCAATGGGAAACCCCTCTGCTTCAAGTGATACCCTTTATGTCAAATTATTAAGAAATTTATGATTCATGGAGGAGACTTCTCAAATCAGAATGGAACAAGAAAGTACTTATGGCAAAAAAACTACTACAGATGGAGATTTCTATAACGATCAGAAGGGTTTAATGAGCATGGCAGATGGTTCTTTACCACAACTTTCAACTCTTCATTTGGATGGGAAATATGGTCAAGTACTTAAAGAAATGGATGTGACAAGAGTACTGGAAAATGTAGACGCAAAAGCTGAAAAACCTGCCGAATGTTCATTACTGCAGAATATGAAGACCTAAAGGAAAAAGGTGACTGAAGAAATATTACCAAAAGATTTTTCTGGTGACAATAATCCAGATTTTCCTCAAGGTGTATAAAATTTTATTAACAGCAGAAAAAAAAACCACTGGAAATACTCTTTTTGAATCCCAAAACTGGGAGATGACTATGAAAAAATATACAGAAGTTTTGGGTCCTCCCTGGTGGCACAGCAGGTTAAAGCAGAGCACTGAGAAGCTAAAGCCACTTCAGTATGAGTTCGATCCCCACCTGCCCCAGAGGTGACCACATGGCTTGGCAGACCTCCTGACCCGCCGCCCGCTGCTCCCCTCAGCAGTGTACTTCATTGGTCAGCCTGTTCTGCTCCCCACTCTGTCTCTGGTGAGTCCTCTTACTGCCCCTGCACCTCTGGCCTGTACCCCAGTTCTGGATGCATAAATAAATAAATCTTAAAAAAGAAAAAATATACAGAAGTTTTAAAACATATAAAGGTTCAAAAGCTGTTACTGAGAAAGCAGATCCAGACTGCAACCTGTAGCTTTAACCTTGTGCTTAATATTGGTGCCTGTAAAGTGAAGATGACAAACTGGCAAGGAACTAGTGATTTGGAGGCTCTTGATATAGGACCATCAAGTAGGAAAGCAATGTGCCAAATAGTTCAAAGACAGCAGAGACTGTAACAAAAAGCTTAAGCACTGGTAGATCTTAAGAAAGCTCAGAATGTAGCACAAGAAGGTAAGGCAATGCCGGCCAGGCAGAATTGCTAAAAGTAAAACAGATAAAGGCACAAAAAGCTAAAGAGAAGCACCATATGCAAAAACAGTTGCTTAATAAGGAATTCAGCTTGCTTAAATGTATCACTGATCATACATAGGCAATATGAAATTTTAAGGGGTTTTTGGCTATTATGTATGGCCCCTAATGTGTTGACATTTCAGTTCTCCATTACAGTTTAGGAGCACTGGTGAGGGTTCACTTTTTGGGGAAGATTTATTTATTTATGCATACAGAACTGGGTTACGGGCCAGAGGTGTAGGGAGTGAGAGGATTCACCAGAGACAGAGTGGGAAGTAGAACAGGCAGACTGACAAAGTACTCTTCTAAAGGGAGCAGTGGGCGAGTCAGGAGAGGTCTGCTGCACCATGTGGTCACCTCCAGGCCTGGGGACAGAAGTCACACTGAAGCTGCTGCAGCTTGCTTGTAGTGCTGAGTCCTAACCCACTGCACCACCAGGGAGGGCCCAAGGTTCACTCTTAATAAAAGAGTGCTACAAAATACATAGAGGTTGATTTTTTTTAAATGTCAATCTGCATTATCAGCATAGACTAATAGTGTCCAATCTATTTTTAAAGTCTGAGACATGATGGATTGGCTAAACAAATGAAAGCTTGAGTTTGTAAAAGAAAAAGAACAGCCTCACAACTAAGTTAGCTTTGAAAAGCTACCTAGAACCCAATGAAGAGAGAGAAGGGGCTTGGAGCTCCCCAAGTCATCCTTAGATTATTATCATTACTGACTTTTCTGGAAACTTCCTTAAAGGCTCACAGGGCTTGTCGCTTTTTTTTTTAATGATTAAAAAAAAAAACTGTACTTAGAATGTTTATGTGATCACAATTTTGTTGGCAACATCCAAAGGATCATAGTGAGGAGCCAGTCTAAATACATGCCTCTGCCCTCCATCAGGCCTGACGAGCATGCTGACCCCAGCCTGCTGGATCTGGTGCTGTTGGCCTTGGCATCTATCGTGACCACAACCGTATTGTCCTCTATCACCTTCACAACTGGTCACACTGGTTAAGCTTGTTTCTCTTTGAGGTGTTCTTCACACCAGTGTCTTGAGCACTTGAAAAGTAAGTGATGCACAACCCTTCCCTGTGGCTGTGGATACACTGCAGCTTTGCATTCTTGGTTTCCAGAGTTTCTGATCTGACTTCAGCTTTGCAAGGGTCAGGCTTAAAAATAGACTGGGCACTATTAGTCAACTTTGCTTTTGGTGCCATCATCATGAAAAGGGTTTCTGAGACCAGGAATGATACTTCTTTGACCTGCTTTGAACTCACTTTGTGCTAACCCCTGACACTCATGCTGAAACAATCACTGGCAATTGTTTAACAAGTTTTTTTAAGATTTATTTTATTTCTGCACAAGAACTGGGGTACAGGCCAGAGGTGCAGGGGATGAGAGGATTCACCAGAGACAGAGCGGGACCAGAACAGGCAAACTGACTGAAGCACACTGCTGAAGGGAGCAGCGGGCAGGTCAAGGAGGTCTGCTGTGTCATGTGGATCACTGCCCTGGCCTGGGATGAAATTCGTGCTGCAGAGGCAGTGGAAAGCTTCATAATGCTGTGCCTTAACCCCTTGAGCCACCACAGAGGGCCCTGTTTAACAAGTTTTAACTATCTGAGATGACTACAACTGCTGCTTCAAATAAGCAGCTCACTAAAATATTTAAAAGGAAAAAAACTGGGAGTTTTGAAAAGCTCCAACTTACTTCTAAAAATCTACAAGTCCACACAGATGTATGTGTTGAATGTATGCTCAAAAAAGAACTGAGAAAATCCTCATCTCTTATCTCAAGTTGATGGTGAGGCTCTTTACCGGCAAGAAAAAGCAAAATTATAAACTACTGACCATAGCACTGAAGATTTATCAATAGCTTGACATATACACAAAACCTCTAAGTAAAGTCTGGGTAAACTAATTGGTTAAACTGCAGTCAAGGAAATCTTCATCCAATCATTAGTTGATAATTAAGCAAAATGAACAAAGGGTTAAGTGGCTACACACAGAAACTTCCTATTTTTTTTACAGTATTATTGTAAAGTGTGAAAGCATATGCGATCTCTGAAACCCAAAAAGTGAATAAATATGAGACATTCTTATTCACGCCTGATGCAGTATTTAAGGATATTCATTAAAAAGCTATTTGGAACTCTTAACGAGTATTAAGCTGAAACTTCTATTTTGCAGATGGAAGGTGATAATCAAAGTTCCATGTTTAAGAGCTACTACCATATGCAATAAAGCTCTGTTTTTCAAGAAATAGTTCACGTTTTGGAAAGTGAAACCTAACTCTCACTTATTGGAGAGGGGTTGGGGAGGAAATTCCATAGCTCACAAGTCATAATAAATACAAATAACACCTTTGATTATGCAACACAGGGGTTTTCCCAAAACCAAAACCACATTGTTATCCAAAAGGGAATGGCAGGTTTTGCCGAGTCAACTGTATTGTTATCCAATCAGAGTTAGCGAGCAGGGCAGCAGCAGATAAATGCAGCAGCCTACCCTAGGCTTTCTGAGACATTCCTCAGCTGTTCGCCACCTGAGCCGCCACCTGAGCCAAGGGCAGAGGAAGAGCATCGCAGCGCCATGAGTCCACGTGCTCTTCTTACTCTCTGCCTTATCTTTCTGACTCTGAATGGAACTCAAGGTGAGGAATATCAAGGATATTTAATGTGTAAGGTCAGATATGGGATTGGGTATCAATTCTAAAATACAGTGTATATGCAAAAAAAAAAAAGTGTATTTGCAAAAGATTTACAGCCTGTCTTTAAATAAAGGGTAAATGAGCACAGTGTTTCTCTGGTCAGAATTTACAAGTCAAAGAAGCAGGTGAAGTCAAAGAGGGTAGTTGCAGAAAGAGAACAGAAGAGGAAGAAAGAAAGGACAGAAAAGGTGAAAACGGTAGAGTGAGACAGTTTAACCACATGAACTACGCTCAAGGGTAAGATCTCCTATTTAACAACTTGCAATGCCTTTCAGACAAGGAACTAACTCATCGTTCAGAGCTCTAGTGCAATAGTGACCTTCCCCCTCTCAGATTAAATGGCTACATGAGAATAAAGACGATAGGTTCAGCTAGAGTATTAATCAATACACACTAAATGCCTAAATTAAAATTGTGCTAACCACCCATGCTGTACTTTTATCCCTACAGGAATACCTCTGCTTAGAATTTCACGTTGTTCCTGCGTTGCAACCATTGATCGACTTGTTAATCCCAGGTTGATAGAAAAACTTGAAATGATTCCTCCAAGTCCATCCTGTTCACGTGCTGAGATCATGTGAGTAAATGATCACTGACTGGTTGTTATCATGTATTTAATATGTTATGATTAAACAAGGTCAGTAAAGGGTTTGAGATGATTTTAGGATTTCTGTGTGGCAAGGGAAATGTCTAGAGTGAAGTTTAAATGTTTGATTGAAAAATTACATATTCCATCTTTTTTATCAGCCCAAAATTGTTTTAAAATTTTTCACTTCTATTTACTTCTGCAGTGTCACAGTGAAAAAGACCGGGGAGAAGAGATGTCTGAATCCAGATTCAAAGGTCGTCAGAAATTTTCTGAAAACAATTACTATGAAAAAGTAAGTGTATCCTTACTTGCAGAAGAAGTTATTCTAGAATGCCAATCTAATGAAATTAGAACCATTTGTCAGGCATTCCTAAGGATTCTTTAGTTTAAAGCCTGTTGCCACCATGCCATCTTCTATCTCCACTTATTTATATACCAAGGTGCCATGGTTTATGGTATCAAAAGTTTCCCCAATTACCTGTAGGTCACTTTAATTTTGAGGCTGAGCTATAAATACCCAAGTAAAGCTTCCAAACTGCCCCGACCTTCTCCTAGTCTTAATCCACAAAGACTGGTTAGCAGCTGGAAATAGACCCCATACCCTCCACCTAAGGAATTTGATTTCTCTGTTAACTGTTACATTCCAAGCAGACATCAGAGTGAAGCCAGAGTTGAGCATATCACACCTTGACACTCTCTGTCCCTTTTACAGGTCTAAGGGGCCTCTCTGAGAAGCCTAACTGTGGTACCAGGAAGGATGGACCAGAGTTGCCTCTGCAGCCACCTCCCTGTGCACGCACACGTTAAACCCTAGCTTCTCTGGAATGCAGTGCTCCTACAAGGTGGCCAACCAGTCACTCAACTAGCTGCTACGACTCCCGCACGGAGCTGGATGGTTCATCATCCTGCGCTGTTCAACAGTAACAGTCCTGGGACTGTTATCATAAGCTATGCTGAGGTGCTACAGTCTTCGCGAACACACCGACTCCTGGCCTTGCTACTGGCACTCGCCTTGCTTTTCCTACTTCTGAAGGTTATTTAGGGATCTTCTACCACTAAGTTTATCAGAGTTCTTACAATCATAGGTATGCAACAGGAAAAACTTCTTAAAAAAGGTCTTTATGAGCTTCTACTGCCACCCTCGCAAGGGGCCCACCTTTCCCAGTGGTTTTATACACATAATCCCAAATATGTTTTATATGTTTATAGGAATGTTAGGAAATGTGAGATTTTTTTTTTTAACAGAAAGCTTATACAATCTAGACTTCTCGGGGCATGTATGTTTTTGTAAGGTGTTTATGCTTAGGAGGTAACCTGTGTAATTACGTACTACACATGCTGACCTACAGGAGAAATGTTTAAATCTAGATATATGCTCTGTATGTTTTATAAAACAAATGTGCTTGGTATTTTTAATAATAAAAATAACGTATCCTGGAAAATATTAACAGAGAATATTTGAGAGTGACCAAAAGGTAATAAAGTAATTAACCCTAATATAAAATGTCTCGTGGGTCATTTGACTGGCAAAGTTATAAGTAAAATATGCTAGAAAATCTATAGCCTAAAGAGGAATCTCGGGGTGGGTAGAGGGCAGATGAGATTGAGAAATACCATGCTCCTCCCAATTTCAGTTTCCTGAAAGGTCCACCTTCTAGATGACCACAGCAATGTGGCAACATCTGCTGCTCTCAAACCACAGAACTTGGCTGAGTTTCAGACCCTGATGGCCCACTCTAGGAGACAGCTTCACCTGTACAGTCCACAGAAACGTCAAACTCCAAAAATACCTAAATTAATTCACTTCTTCTCTAGATTTATCTATCTTACTCTCTTCTATGTCCTGACTGAATAGCACCATCACTTACTGAGTTTTCCCAACCAGTCACATGAAAGTAATTGCATACTTCTCCCTTACCCCCCACAACCAATTAGTCCCTAAGAACAGACCCACCATACTAGCTGTGGACCTCTAGTGGGTCCAAGACCTGGGGCACGCCTGAAGGATGAACCAGAGGGATGACTGCTATGCCCAGCATGCAGTGAATCTTTATTTTGCAGCATGCTCTTTATATATTCTACATTAACAAACTGAAACAATAACATTGACTTAATCTACCTAGACAGTCTCAAGCAGTAACAGCAGCATACTGACTTATTCTAACTCTGTATCTAGTGTTCCAATTCTTGGAACACCGTGTCCAACCCCAGATGGCTGAGCCCTCACACCCACCTGGACACTTCTCCTGATAAGCTCTTTTGCTGTCTTTCTCAGAAGTGGCTGCTTGCTCGCATGACGTATTTTCTCACATGCTTGGAGCCCAGGCCCAGCACTCGAGAGCGTTCCCCAAGGCGCATGTGCGCTCTCTTGCCTTCTGGGATCTAAGTCCTGACGCTGGTCAAGGTCATGCAGAAGCTCTGCCAACACTAGTGAACAAAGTATCATGAAGTATAAAGAAGTCTCCTGAATAAATATATAGACAACTGGTGTAATATACATGATTCCAAATACTTCTTTGTATATATGTAGGAAAGTCAGAGAACATGAATATTTTTCAATGAATACTATACAAAATAGAATTCTTAGATTATATTTTTATAGTTTCCAGTGTTTATGAACTAACTTTTATAGTTCAAGTGTAGTTCAAGTACTACAAATGAATTACCCATGGAAGAAATGTTTAAATATAGATATTGATCCTTTTTTTTTTTTTAAAGATTTATTCATTTATGCATACAGACTGGGGTACAGGCCAGAGGCTCAGGGGTGGTGAGAGCTTTCACCAGAGACAAAGTGGGGAGCAGAACAGGCAGATCGACGAAGCACATTGCCTAGGGGAGCAGCGGGTGGGTCAGGAGAGGTCTGCCACGCCATGTGGTCACCTCCGGGGCAGGCGGGATCGAACTCATGCGGAAGTGGCTTTAGATTCTCAGTGCTGTGCTTTAACTCGCTGTGCCACCAAGGAGGGCCGATATTAATTCTTATTAAATAGGTTTCAAATTAAAAAGTACAAGCTCTTTGAAAGATGCATTATTCATGGAATAATCTGAAGAAGCACATTCAGGGAAATATGCATTCAAATCATTACAGGACATCATTTCATACTACCAGACTGAGAAAATAATTTTTTTAAGGAAACCTGATATTATTACCTTTTTGAACTCTGTACTTTTTCACAGAAGTCAATATTTAGTACTTAAAATGATATGTTGTATTCTTCCTTAAATTATTCTGTTGGTAGTGTTAAAAAAATTATTATTAATGAAGTATCACTGTTTTACATCCTTTGTAATATTCTGACAGTGGAGTCCTCTGCCATAGTTCCTTGTGCTCTCCCTCCCCTTATCTTCTCCTCCATCCATCCCCCTTCTTGGTTGCCTCAAATCTGTGGTCAACTTCCAAGGGTTAGTTTTGAAGCTCAGACTAGCAAAAATGTTTAAGTTGGACAATACCATGAGTTAGGACAGATGTAGAGTAATGAAGAATGTCTTCCACTGGTGATGAAAGAAAAAACAGCCTGACTGCACGGGAAACCCATTTGGCATTGTCGTATAAAATTTAACTCGTGGGGTCTCCTGGTGGTGCAAGGAGTTAAAGCACCGCACTATGAAGCTGCTGGCAGCTACTGCAGCACAAGTTCAATCCCCAGCCAAGGAGGCGACCCCACGTGGTGCAGAAGACCTGTCTTGTCTCACCTGCTGCCCTCTCAGCAGTGAATTTTGGTCAATCCACCTGTTCCGTTGCCCACTCTGTCTCTGGTGAGTGAATCCTCTCACCTCCCTGCACCTCTGACTTGCACTCCAGTTCTTCTGTGAATAAATATTTTAAAAAATAAAATAAAATTTAACATGTGCATGCTCTATTTTTTAGCAAGCCTAATACTATGTTATAGGAGATATAATTCTACTATCTATATACCATGGATAATTCTTTCATAGGACACACATAAGAGAGTGTTATAAAAGCATTATTAATAATAGCAAACTCTGGACACAATCAAAAAAATGAAAATGTAAGTAAGGGTATATAAGTTCAATGGACTGTTATGTAGCTATGGAAATAAAGTACAACTATATATGTGTCAACATGAATCTCAAAAATAATCTTTGCATAAAGGAAACAGGTCATAGAAAAGTATATACAGCCTAATTTCACTTACTGTAAGGTCTGAAATCAGGCAAATTTACATTTGTATTTAGGAGTGAAGTCATCTATGATGAAAATAAAGGAAGGATTCCCATAAAATTCTTGCTCTCCCCCTTCAGGTGTCATTACCAGCACCAAAGCATCCACCGTCCACCGCCACAGCCTACTGTGCCCCCTCCCCACTTTGTGCTCACTTCCCCCTTTACCTCCCCCAAATCCCTTAATTCTACAGCCAGTTTTCAAGGGTTACTTTTTCAGAGATTTATTATTTATTTATTTATGCACATAAAAAATGGGGTGTTGACCAGAGCTGCGGGAGATGAGAGGATTCACCAGAGACAGAGTGGGAAGCAGAACAGGCAGATCGATGAAGCACACTGCTGAGGGGAGCAGCGGCTGAGCCATGTGGGTCACCTCCCTGGCCGGGGATTGAACCATGCAGCAGTGGCTGGTGAGAACTTGACAGCGCTGAGACTTTAACCTCTGCACCACCAAGAAGGCCCCTCAGGTTAATTTTTAACTTTGACTTGATTTGACCCTTTTATTTCTCTATATTCCAACATAAAGTGACACTTAGTATCTGTGACTCTCTTTCTGGCTTATTTCACTCAGCACAATCTCTTTGAACTTTAATGACTGAGATAAAAGTAAATAAATTTGAACTGATAAAACTGGAGGGGGGGGCAGGAGGGGAACTACAAATGTATAGAGAGTAGTGAACATCAAGGACTCCATTCCTTCAAAACTGATAGCTGATCTGCAGTTTGAAAGATGCATCTATATCTTGTAGAATAATAGAAGCACACAGGTTAGAGGTAAGGATAGCATGGGAAAGGATGTTGGAGAGAAAAACGGCAATCATGCAAACTTTTCTATGCTATGCAAACTATGCTATCACCACCATATATATTTACAAGCTACATAAATGTCATAAAACACACGCAAAAATTAAAACACTGAGACAAAGCTCCAAAAATGTTAATGCCTAACAGAGTTTGCATTATGCTCAAAGTCCCAGGGAAGTTGGCAGAACATCACGCTAAGTCAGGAATGTAGTCTCCCTCAACCACAACAGAGAGTCACCAGGACAGGAAAAAGATCAAAATGTATACAGGTAAAACCCTGCAGTCCATATGCCTGGTCCAGAACAAGGTATTGCCTTACTTAACTGCATTAAGGAAAAGAAACTGTGAAGGAAAATTGCATTTGTCAGCCACTAATAGAAAACACCTTTAAGTATAAGTATATAATTATAATATTTTTTAATTATAAGCCAGAAAATAAGGCTCATGCAGAAATTTAGCTCAGAAAGGAAAGTCCAAATAAATATTTAAGCAAATAAAAATCTCTCTTCTCAGGGAAGCTAGATTAGAAGTGAAGAATTCCTTTTATGAGTAAAGTTCACTACATCTAATGCAAGTAAAATCTGATGTACACAGTGAACAAATGGACACACCTACTGTAGTATATCTCAGAGGGAGACTCATTTCTTGGGAGGGATAGATGGGCCACACTCATCAAAGCATTACACATTGATACAAGAACACTGACCTATGGAGAAGAGAGAATGAGAAAGTAAAATTGAATGTACTCTTGTCTCTTCATTTTCTTTGGCAGACCACACTTAGTTAATTCACAGTTCTAAATGTAGACTTTGATATTTGACTAGCACTAGTATCCTCAATGGGGCAGTAAAAATATAGCAATAACAACTCAGGTGACTCTGATTAAGTCATTATAGTTTCACACAAGCCTTTGTTTTCTCGTCTATAAAAGAGAAGTGGTATAGAAACAGCAATCTTCCAGAAAAGCTGCTCAGATAAATAACTGACAAGAGTTAATCAGACTTGCAGTTTCCAGAGGCAAAGAGTGAGGGGAGAGGCAGCTAGAGGAAGGTGGTTAAATAGTACAAATTTCCGGTTATAAAATTAGTTAAGTACTAGGACTGTACTACAGCAACTGTATTTTACTGCTGTATGACATAAAGGAAAACTGTCCAAAGCCTGAGGTTCCCATCATTGCAGTAATTTTTTTTTAATACGAGTAATTTTTTTCCTTTTCTCCCTACTTTTCCTTTCATTGTACCTATGAGAAGATGAGTGGTAAACTGAGCCTCCTGTGGTAATTATGTGACAATATACATGCATCATACTAATGAGGCTCAGTGTTTCCAGGCTGCCCCCAAAAGTACCATCTTCAGATCTTGACCATTTTGAGCTGGTTACTTACGAGTGAGCCAGCAGAACACTGTAACACTCTTTTGGTTTTGAATGCAAGAGATAAAC